GAAAAGTTATGGCAAAGGTTAAAGTTTTTCAAAAGTAAATAAATCATCAAGGTCAATGTCAAATGGTGCCAAAGGGAAGGTCTTGTCACAAGTGATACACATGTACGTGAAATATGAAAGCCCCAGAATCAAACGTTCAAATGTTATGGCCAATGTGAGATTTTTTTTAAGTAGGTCAAGGTTAATGGGACAATATTGTTGGTATCCAAGGTCTTGTCACAAGAAATACACATGTGACGTATGAAAGCCCTAGCACCAATTGTACAAAAGTAATGACCAAGATTAAAGTTTTTCAAAAGTAGGTCAAACTCCAATGTCAAGGTCACAAGGAATAGACATGTGAAGAATGAAAGCCCTAGCACCAATTGTTCAAAAGTAATGACCAAGGTTAAAGTTTTTCAAAAGTAGGTCAAACTCCAAGGTCAAAGTCAAAATTGTTGGTATCCAAAGGAAGGTCTTGTCAGGATGTGAAGTATGAAAGTTATGGCCAAGGTTAAAGTTTTTCAAAAGTAGGTCAAACTTTAAGGTCAATGGTCAAAGTTGTTGGTATCCATAGGAATGTATTGTCAGAAATACACATGTGAAAGTATGAAAACCCTAGCACCATCTGTTCAAAAGTTATGGCCGAGGTTAATTTTTTTTCCAAAGTAGCTCAAACACCAAGGTCAAGGTCAAACGTTCAAAATTGTAGGTATCCCAAGGAAGGTCTTGTCACAAAGAATGCACATGTGAAATTTGAAAGCCCTTGCACCAACTGTTAAAAAGTTATCGCCAAAGTTAAAGTCTGATAAAATTTAGCAAAAGTGGGTCAAACTCCAAGGTCAAGGTCAAATGATGGTACCCAAAGAAAGGTCTTGTCACAAAAAATACACATGTGAAATATGAAAGCCAAAGCTCTAACCAATCATAAGTTATGAGCAAGGTTAAAGTTTTTGCGGACAGACAGACATCTAGACAGACAGACAGGGCAAAAACTATATGCCCCCGAATCTTCGATAATGGGGGCATAATAAATTCTTGACCAGTGTGTTTATTAATTTTTCTGTGCTTCAATTTAAACAACATGGCATAAAATACATACGAATGAATCGGAATTGAGACAACCAGTAATTAGCAACTTCATTGTACGTAGGCAAGCTTATGGAACGCCTCAGTTGCCTTATGTGAAGAACATTCATTATATGGTGATACTTTGTCATTATAATATGCTGATACTTCAACATTATATGCTGATACTTTAATATAATTATATTCTGATACTTTAAATTTATATGCTAATACTTTAACATTATATGATGATACTTCATTATAATTATGGTTCTTTAAAAAACAAAAAGGTTAAACATCGGGATCGTGATACCAAAATCGCCCAATAAGGTTAAATATTGCAAGTAGTCCTTTTCTCAGCACAACAATTCTCCTTGGCCGGATTTTGAAGGTTCAAGTGGATATAGACATTTCGATCGTCGTTCACATTCAAAGTCGGATTACGTCATTTCATGGAAAACTAACGTTTTATTTTAAAATATATATGTATAATGCAAAAATCTAGGGTGCTTCAATGGATTTGTATTAATTCTTTTGATGAAATTTTAGCAGATCCCTGAAACTAATGTTATGAATCAAAAAATAAAGTTTGTCTTCTTAAAAAGTTGGTTGTTCTTACGCTAATAAATTTAATTTTAAGCAGTCCAAAGGACTGTGGCAGATATATGTGAAAGCCCCCCCCCCTCCCCCTTAAAAATGAAAAAGTAAGAGGATGGAAATTTTTTTTTTTTTTTAGAAAACTTTATATTCTTGATATTCCATATAGAAAACCTGAATCTTGAGAAAACCTTTGCTCTTATATATATACTCATTTTAATTACATATATTTTGAGTTTATTTTTCATTAATATCCCCCCCCCCATCTTGAAATCCTGTATACGCCTCTCGAATGTGTTGACTGGCTTAAAAGTTACATGATTATATGTATTATTGCAAAAAATGAAAAAAATAAATACAAGTATATATTTTATTATGATTTCTTAGAGATGAATTTATACTGAAATTTAAGAATTTCTAGTGAAATGTTATATAAGTTGTTTGGATATTTATTTTTTTTTTTACTTTATAATTAAAAAAAAGGGGGGGGGTGGATTGTGGTGGTGGTGGATTACAACACCTAAACTATTCACAAAGTTCAAACTAACTGCATAAGCTCAGTGTCGGTGATTTTACAGTTTTTCCAGAGTGATCGCATGCATGGCATAGGATGTATAGACCAGCTTAAATAGTCCAGTTAACAAATACAATGGCAGCTTAATTCTGGAAGAAGTTTGAGTCATTGGTAGCCTAATTTACTACGTAGATGTCATAACAATGAAATCCCTGAACAACAACCCCGTCCCGATGATTTGAAAATTACATATGAAAGTGCAGAGCTATCAAGAACTTAAGTGCTGAGGCCGGAACGACCATGCAATACTTGCGGGAGGGGAGAGGGGGCTATCATATTTTGGAAATTAATAATCTGTCCTTGAAAATGCTGAAAATAATCAATATATCCTAACACTGAGGTGACTTTAGCGTGGTGGTAGCCCCACCCCTCTACCCAAAGAAATAGGGTCTTCAAACTTGGGTAGACATTTTTGTTCAGTGTGTGTGAAAATAAATAATCTGTACCTGGTCATCTAGGAAATGACTAATCTATCACATAGTGACATGATTTCTTGACAAACAAAAAAAAACAAACAAACAAACAAACAAAAAACAAACAAACAAAAAAAACAAACAAACAAAAAATAACTAAATTCCCTTCCCAAACCTATTAAACTCAGAAAATTTCTTGACAAGCTATAAAGATGGTGATGATGTGGTTCACGTTTTCTAGGGGGGTCCAAAGTCATTTTTTATTTGCTTCAGTATATACTTTTAATAACTCTGCAAATTCCGGGGAGGGGGGGTCCGGACCACCACCCCCCACCCCCACCCCCTCTAGATCCGCCCATGCGTTTGTCTCCTAAATTGTATTATGTTATTCTGCTTTGATGGCCTTGAACCATCATTAGATTTTTAAAAAAATAGCCGTTTTATTTTCCTGAACTTCCAAAATATCTAAAAATTTTCGTGCGGTACACGCGATTTTGCATAGCTATCTTCGTTAAGTTCACTCGTACATGTAATATTATATATTTACCCTCTTCCCCTTCCCAAATCCACCAGTATGTTCAAGACTGCTTACACGTGTCCCCTTCCCCCTTTCGTACCATCAATTTGCAAATACATGTACATGTATATATACTAAAACTCAATTCATTTAACTGGTTTTATTTTTTATAAGCATAGAAATTAAGAATTATAAACAAGCAAATTCAAAGAATTGTGGTCCCCCGCTTTCGGTGTGTTAATGGGTGGGATTCCATTATTTATGGCATATTGTGTCAAATATGAACGCCCTATCATATGTCATTCAATAGTAATCACCACAGTTAAAATTTTTGAAATTTAGGTCAGACACGAAAGTCAAGGTCAAGAATCAAAATCATAGCATGCTCGAAGACACCTTGTCACAGATAATGCACATGTCAATATGAAAGCCCTATCTCTTCTCAATCAAAAATTATAAAGAAAAATAACATTTTTGAAAAATAGGTCAAACTTCAAGGGTAAGGTCACCTGGTAAAAAATCATAGTATATTTAGAAAGATCTTTTCTTAGATAATATACATCTTTAATATGAAAACCCTATCTTTTCTCTTTCAAAAGTTATGACCAATTAAAATTTTTTTTTTAAAAAGTAGGTCAAACATAAAGGTCAAGGTAAAAAATCATAGTATATTTGGAAAGGTCTTGTCATAGATAATGTACATGTGAAATATGAAAGCCGTATCTCTTCTCATTCAAAAGTTATAACCAAGGTTAAAGTTTTTGTGACAGACGGACAGACTGACAGACGAATGAGATTTAATGTCCCCTCGCTTTCCGAAAGCGGGGGACAACAATACATCTGTTTCCATGCCCCTTTGATATTGAGCTGCTTGTAAAATGAGTATTGTATAGGTTTTTAATTCCCTCTACATGTAAAAATAGCATGGTCTTGTCATTTGAGGAATTTAAAGCTTTTAGGAATAAAACATATCATGTACAACTTACACATAGAGCCCAAATGATGGCACAGGGACAATCTAAAAATTTTATGAAAATTATAGTGCAGAGCTATCAAGAACTTCAGTGTTTCAGTTCAGTGAACTTCACTATTTTCACTATTTCGCTAGATCCTCAACAGTTCCCAGGCCCTGCTAATGCCCTACGCTACCACACAAAATGCAGACCAATGTCTGTACATGCCACTGAACACCAAGAGATATTGGGTCAAGCACCTCCTTTTCAAGCCACAATTCATCCCATGAACCCACCCCGCTTTTCTGAGGAAATCCCTGATTTTAGTTTCGAATTTCCAATCCGTATCCTATGAATAGTAGTATTTACACTAAAGTGTCATACATATATCAATAAAATATAAAAGGCCACCACTTCCCTCCAAAGACACACATAAAATATTCTAGCGACTAAAATCATCCATAAATATGCATTCAAACCTTAGGTTTCTCTCTATTTTTTTCTCTAATTTTTGACCGGTACTTAATCCGAAACTATCCTCTGCCACCTCAGAGATTTAATCACATCTAAATCGGAAAGTTTTTTGGAAATACCCATGTTTTGTTATTAAAGTCAACATTGGGGAAACAAGGAATGTCTAACCAAATAATACTTTTAAAAACTTTTACAAGACAATGTATAGGAAATGAAGCAGTAAAGGTAAGACCCAGGCAAAAAAAGTCAAACATTGGATTTTATCATCTGCTTTGTACACTTTCACTAAAGATTTAAATAACCTCAACTTATTCAGCACAAGAGAACAATGTATAATTGTCAATAGTTAAATTGTTCTGAGGATTTACTGAGACTGTGATTTAAATTTTTCTTGGATGTTAATTTTTCACATTTGTTTTAGTTTCAGATTCCATTCACTTCTTAGGCAATGTTCTGTAGTGAATCAAGATTTCTTGTTCGACTCACCAAATTTAATGCAAGGTATTTTACTGAGAAGACTATACAGGCTGTATCGGAGTTTATAGAAATACGACACGAAGATACCCTTTTTAGAAAATCCACGCAATCAAAAACAAATAAACTTTTCTCCACTCGTGAATTGACCGACATCTCTCAGGCTGTTCAGTTTATGATGAATAAGATAATACTTGACTCCTCAGAAACTGATCATCGATTTAAAGTAAAAGAACTGCAGCTTATTGGAAGCATGTATGAGGAGACCAAAATTAGGAAGCAAGACGAATTCGACTTTTTCGCCGTATTTGCTTACAATATTTTACAAGATAAACATATCCACTTAGAATCAGGATGTCGTCCAGGTTTTACTAAGATTCGCATAAACGGTAGCTCTCACGAATTATCTGACTTCTGCCAAGGACTGTACCTGTCCCCTCATGTCTGTATGAAAAAATTTGAAAGCCTTCTTCCTTCACAATTGGGAGATCTTGAACCGGTAAAAACAACATCCGGGACACTGCGTGGATGGAAGAGGAGGAAGAGGACATTTGATTTGATTTGGGAGAATCGAGACTGTAGTATGATTATAGCTGTGGATGTCATGCCAGCTTTCCTTGTTCACTACAAAAATTTACCAAAAACTTTACGCGAAGACTGTACCGACAGCAGAATGGACCAGTTAGGTGCTGACCACTCTAGTTTTTTGATCCCGAGGTCTTGTGAACATCATAACGAAGGCAAATGTTGGCACAACTCCTTCGCCCATGCCGAAAGCACGTTGATTAGAAACATGGACATTGAAAAAAAGAAATGTCATCGTGTGTTGAAACTATTGTTCGTCAGCAGTGATAGATTTGGTAATCCCAATTTTTTGTCATCCTATTCGATCAAATCGACCATCATGTACAAATCAAAGAGGGTCTATGAGAATGAATTTCAATTCTTGCTTTACGTTTTTATCCACTTTGCAAAGTGTTTTGATCAAACATGTATGCCTACTTATTTTTTGACAAAGACCAATATTTGGAAAAACATAATTGAACATAGAACGCACAACATTTGGGGATCGAATTTTCTCTATGATTTTCGTTTGAGCCGGCAGATTTTGCGGCACGTGAGTCAGTCTGATTTAGAAGAACGATTAGCTGCCTGGAATGTAGCTATTGTGTTTGAATTTTGGCGTCGGATGATGATTCTCCTAGTTGTGTTGTTCTCCATGGCACAGTCTTCTATGACAATTGACTTCTTTCTCAGTGTAATTTACCACTCGCAAACGAAGCAGGACCAGTTTTATTTGGACTCTCTTAGAAACAAAAAAGTTAACTGGCTTTTGTCGGCCTCCCAGTATGACGTGCTTACAATACGGGCGAACCACAGAAAGATGATACGTACACTGGACATCCCTGTGTTTACAGAATTGACTAACGAGTTACAAAAATATAGAATACTAGACGTAAAAGCTCTGAATAGCTTAGTAACTGAAAATAGATACGACTTCAAGATAGCACACACTCCCTCCGTTAGTCTTGATGTACACAGGTACGGTAACATATATTTGCCTTACAGATCTTCATGCAGAACAGAGGCCATATATCGCCATAAATAAGTAACGGAGTAATAACCATGTGGAAACACGAATCCAACTGTGTATATATATAATAGAATTGTCCTAATGGAACCGACCCCCAAGAGGCATACTTTAAAAAAGAACTCAATACTCTAATAAAAATATATACTGCAAACTCCTGAGGCCTTAATCGCATTAAAATATTAAAGGTTGAATTTTGTAACAGGTTGTTAAGTCGTTGTGTCGAATTCAAAAGTCCAAGTGTGAAAATGGGTCCGTTTTACAAAACAACTTACGATTAAGACCAAAAAACTTTAGGTAATTGTACAATTTTGCAAAATTAATTATTCTGTTTAAAATTGCTATCTTAAACAAATCCTACTACATTCCTTTTAAAAAGATTAAAACCATTGTCAATATAATGTTAATGAGAAAGTTATATGCAGAATCTAATTTTGGTCTTTTGTAAAACGAACCCCCCTTCTATGCATTAATAAATGTTTTTTAGACATTAAGAAATAATATATTGTATAAAGTTGTATGTTTTGAGCTTGAAGAAAGCACTGTAGATATATAAATATTTTTTCACTGTATTTTAGATTTAGGGTCAGGATTACTCATACTGCATGACAACAGAATCAGATTTCTTCAGTGTGCAGTGTAGAGGGGCTCTGTAATAACCTCTACTTAATGATAGAAATAAAAATCATTTGACTTTAAAACTATGTGACTTTGTTTTTTATAAAAGAAGATGAAGGGGGGGGGGCAAACAGTGGCTTATCTCTTGAACACAAGCAATCATTGTATGAAGTACATGATCAATATAACGGTTTACATTTCCGAGGCCTCCTGAAATCTGTGTCTTGTTCAATTAAGGGGGGACCGATCCTCTTACAAAAAGATAACTTTCCAAATAAAAAATCATTATGCTACTCAAGGTTAATTTAATTGAGACCTTTGAGAAATTAACTCGATCACAACTGAAACATGATGAAAACATAACTTTTATTCATTTTGCGTATACATTTCAACTTGTTTTTGTCCCCTTCCAGTGAAACCGGAAGGGACTAAAGGTTTCCTCTGTGTCTGTCCGTCCGTCTATCTGTCTGTCTGTCTGTCCCTCTTGGTTTTCCGCTCTTTTTTCCTAAATGCTCGCAAATATTGAGCTGATTTTTGGTATGTGAATGTATATTGTTGAGTTACAGATCAAGTCTGCATTTCGTTCCGCTTCACTGATTTTTGACGGAATTACGACATTTTCAGTTTTTAAGGGTTTTCCGCAATTTTTTTTCTAAATGCTTGCAGATATTGAGCTGATTTTTGGTATGTGACTTCACCTTGATTAGTTCTAGATCACGTTTGCATTTCGTTCCGCTTCAATGATTTTTGACGGAATAATGGCATTTTCAATTTTAACGGGAACCAGATTACACTTGCCGGTAGGGGGCTAGTATTTGCTAATGCAATATTCTCAGAATGCTTATAAAATTTGACAAAAACATTTCAAATCCATTTTTAAACCCTTATCAATTGACTAAGTCCTATCTTTTTATGGACTATTTTAAAAATGCTTTAATGTGTCAAATACCATATATATGATAATTTTATTATTAGTATTACATATTTTCCATTGAAAAAATATTTATACGAAAGACAACTCTTGCTAATAGACGTTTTCTTTCTTTCTTTCTTTTTTTTTTTTGCAAGCACGTTGTGATATTCTGACTAAGGAAGCAGCGCTTTAATATGTTATCTAATATGAATTTAATAGATATGGCAATAGTATTTTCATATACTAACATCTCATATTTTTAATTTTACGTTTTGATAATAAATTATTACTCTTCCTATTCTTTTTTGTTGGTGTGTTACAATTTCTTCATATCATACAGAAGCGTATTGCTGCCAATTGAAAAAGAAATATTCTAAGTCGTATGTACGAGATACTAAGTCGTACGTACGAGATAATAATAAGTCGACGTACGAGATACTAAGTTGTACGTATATGTACGAGATACTATGTCGTACGTACGAGATACTAAGTCGTACTTATGAGATTTTAAATCGCACGTATGAGAATATCTGTCGTACGTACGAGATACCGAGTCGTACGTACAAGATACTAAGTCGGACTTACGAGAACAATGAGTCGTATGTACGAGATAATATGTTGTACGTATGAGATAATATGTAGTTATCAAGATTTGTTTATAATTTTATGAAGCATCAAGTATGGACGGCGTACAAACAGTTGTCGTCCTTGTGAAGTATATTCTTAGGATTTTACCGCAACGAAATGACTTTCCGGGAAAATCCCGTTTGAAATCAATGTTTCATAGTCAACTTATTTTTTTACAATATATATTTCGATATATTTCAGATCTGAATTTAGAACCTAAATTTCATATAAGCAATTCTATGATTAACCTTCAAAAGTTTATTAAAAGAGGATATTCATGGGAAAAAAATTAAATCTATTTTTGCATAAATGTTGATTTAGAAGTCCGATCCAAAGCAGGCCTTCCCCCACCCCCACCAACTCCCTCCCCAAAACCCCCTGATATTTTAATAGGTTTTGATCTAAGGAATATACATGGGTACCGATGGGGTTGAAATGTACAAAAAAAAAAAAAAAAAAAAAAAAAAAAACGAAAATGCAAAAACATATTTCTGTAATCGTGGTTTATATTTATGTCTAATGTCGTTTTAATTAGAAAAGCTCCGGGTGGTTTGAGACTGACATTCAACATTTTCAAAGTGGCCTGGTTCGAATCACCTGGTGGTACACATTTACTTTTATAAAAACAGGTTTGTGTATTTCACTTTAATTTTCTTTCCTAAATGTTTTTTTTTTCCTTTTGAGATAAATGACATTTATGAGAATGCAGATCATAAATATTATTCTCTAAAAATAAAAACAATCAATTGGAACTATTCCACAGTGTAAGCATGCTTTGTTTGAGGACAAGAATTATTCTGTCTTTCTTACTCGATACAGAAGCCACATACACACCCACGCACCCCCCACCCCCACCCAAAAAATGCGTGAATGACTTGTAGTTGATCCTATACATCTAAAATCGGAAAAGTTTCCTAACAAATCAACCAATATGAAATCTCAGAACTAATTGATGAAAAGAGAGACAGAATATCGTCAAGATTTGAGTATACATGTAAATCTATTAAAACGAAGATAACTTTTTTCTCTGGACTTATAATAGGACTTAGAATCTCGTACGTACGACTTGGTATCTCGTACGTACGACATAATATCTCGAACGTACGACTTAGTATCTCGTACATACCAAATATTATGTTGTACGTACGACTTAGTATCTCGTACGTAGGACATAATCTCACGTACGTACAACATATCATCTCGTACGTACGACTTAGAAAAAAAAACATTTTCAATTGGCAGCAATACGCTTCCCTAATATCATGGTCTGACAAAAAAAAAAAGAAAGAAAAGAAAAATTATGAAAAAATAAGCAGCGCTTCAAACCTCATACTGTTTTTCATTTGAATCTATTGTTATAGTCCTTAATTGTTAGGATCATTATATAATATATTTAATGATCAACCCACAAGCTAATTAAGATCTTCTAATTTTGTAACAAATTTCGGTAAGAAAGCAAATTTTCACTTCAAACCCAGCCTTGACGAGGTGATCATGGGACATGGTAGTTACACATCCTCTACTTAAAATCATTCTTAATGCTCATTATAATCTACAGAAACTGTTTCTCCGCCTTAAAGTGATAAACAAGGCAAGAATTTATCACTTCTGAAATATCTGTAATCGAACACATTACTGAGATAGAGTCAGTGCATTCCCGCCGGTCACAAGCAAGCTTTGTCCAAGTTCTAATAATGTGTTTTATTTTAAGATTGTGTCTAAGACACAAATTATTTTTGTAATCTTTGACAAAATGATTTTACCACAGGTAAAGGCAAACTCATGGCCATAAGCTTTTTTGGAGTTAGTATGAGCTTTTAAAGTTTTTTTCTTTCAGTTCAAAGAAAAAACATGATTTTCTTACCCCCCAAAAAAAAATGCTTACGCACCATCATAGAACATTTTCCCCCCAAAACTGGTTTATGCTGTATTTGATTTATGAAAAATATTATTATAGTAAAAAAATAAGGCATTTTAATCCAAAACTAAAATATACAATTTTAAATAAAATATTACTATTTCATAGAAATGTATGGACACAATACACACAACTGGACTATTGCAGGATTATATTAAAAATTGTGTCAACCGGAAGTGTAGTGGACCGTGTACGGATGCCAAAGTACTGGATGACCTCCAGGCGATATGATGGAAACATCCATCTATATCATTTCAGAGACATGGACACCACGCTGTTGTAACCTCACTGACTACCATCCGTAGCCATCATCTTCATACCAGTACATAAACGGCGTGCAATCAGCTTCTGATTCAGGAAATTGGTTTGGAATAAAAAGGTCATTTGAGGGTCTTCTTTTGACACCAAGAGTTTGGCAAACACGGCAGCATTGAGTAAAATGGCATGTGCCAATTGAACAAATGTTCTATTTAAATATGAGAGAACTGGTTGGTGCGTTAGCAACTTTGTTGAACGTTTTGTCTAACGTATATATATATTTATAAATGGTATCGGAAACACGTGGTGTTGTTTGTTTACGTGTTTAGGAAGTATTTATAGTATCTAAGATTTGATTGGGTTTTAACGATTGATATGAGTTCAAATGAAATCGTGCGGAACAGGTAGTTTACCTGTGTCCAGGTATTAAGGTAGTATGGGATACCTCCACGTTATGACGTATTTCCGTTTGAAGTATTGTTTTGATTTGCATGAGTGCTTATTATCGGGTCAAAATTTGTAGATACACCGTTGAAAAGAACACTCTCAAGCCTATTTCAATGCAAGTTCTCACAAGTCGGCATTTTAAGTAAAAACAGACAAAAAAATCGCAAGTATATAAATTTACTTATAATTGTACAACGGACATTTAAAAAAGCAAACCCCTGTAAAAGGTAGTTTCAACATTGCTGCTTTTGAACACTTTTAAGCAAAAGCTGTATTTCAATTGTTTGAGTAACTGTACAGCACCTTGTGTGCGGTGAGGCATGGATAAGTGCGATTACTTCACATTGTGCTGAATTATCACCAATCAATTATCACGTTAACCAGAGCTGGACTTTTTTGTTATTTAATTCAAGAAGAAACTGTTTGGTCACAAATCAGCTAGCTGTTGTATATAGTCCCAAAACGTTCAGATGAATGCAATTGC